GTTAGGTGAGCCTCCTCTATACCCTATCAACAGCCTGCATATATTTCTATTATGTCATTTGTTAAACTATCATGAGTTTGATTTTTATAAATTATAAGAAGCTTTTCATTAATATCAATAAATGTGCATGTATTACAGATTTTATACCTTTGATGATACCATGTTCTTCTATTATTTGGTGGTTTAGAGATTCATAAAATTCATTCTTACCTGTTTAAACTTGGCAAGAAATGTGCCCTTGGTTGATGGCAGGTAAAGAGGTTGCAAATTTGGTATCAGTGAGGCATAAAATCTGGGTTGTTCTGACCACTGTATTATATTTCTGCTGCTGAATAACAAATTATGCAAACAATGCAAATTGAAACAATAGCCATTTATTATTATACAGTTCTATAGGTCAGAATTCCAGATAAGCTTAGCTAATTCTTCTGCTCAGAGTCTCACACTCAAGATATCAGCCAACTGCCATTCCCATATGAGTCTTGGAGACTTCTTCCAAGCTCATTGGCTGTTGGCAGAATTCATTTTCTTCTTACCCTTTCCAAGTGGGTTCTCCATCTTCAAGCCAGCAATGGCAGTTTGAATTATTCTTATGCTTCAAATCTCTCTGACTCCCTCGTCTAGTCCCATCCAGAGAAAAATCTCTGCTTTTAAAAGTATGATTAGTTTTGCCTACCCGGACAGTTTCCCTTTCACCCTAATATAGGCGTAATATCAAGTTCAGGGAAGTCATCTTAAAATTATGCCTTTGACAACCATGAATCTGACACTTTTGGTCAAATATTTCTGCATTCTACATCTTTTTGTCTATAACAAGGATATGATTTTCCACCAGCGATGTTTAGAATTGAGAAATGCAACCTGAAGTGGTCCTGAAGTAGTCAGAGAATCACTGAACCAAATGGAATCAATCCCACAGTCTTGACTTCAGAGGAAACTGTATGCTAACCAAATGAGCAAACCAGTCATCTCTACTGGGAAAGTAATAATAGAGGTGGCCCTGATTTCAGAAGTAGAGTGAGATGCCAATGACTCCACTAAAATATTTCATTGTCCCAATAAAGTAAGGTTGTGACCACCATCTGAGTTGCTGCTCTCCAAGTACAACTTCAGTTATACTGTGCAGACTAGAGTTTTTGAGCTCAATATTATTAAGCTGATTTTCTGATTATAATGGAGTCCAATTTCAACTATTTCTCTGTGCAGTTCCTATTTATTTTTACAAAAGTATATCAATCATAATCATTGTGATAATATTTTCAGTGCTTTCTAACTTATATATTTAGCTTATAAGTTAACAAAATCTTTAACAAACCAGCCACAAAAGTTAGCTGTATGAACCAGACTTACAGAGAATATAAAGGGACATGAAACCCATAGGAAAAGAAAATTCATTTCCTAAACAGTCACGATTATTTAGGAGAGATCTATTCCTTTTCAGTAAGTCCCTTGAAAGAGGAGACTATTTGTGTTATATCATTTTGCGCCCGACAAACTGCCTAATTTCGTATCTTGAACATAGTAGGTGCTCAAGAAATACTTGTTGAATAATGAATGAACATTTGTTAGAAAACTTTAGTAAGAAGGATTTTAATAGTAAAACCTTGAAACTAATCTAAGTGTTCAAAAATAGAGAACTATTTAATAATGTTTTACAGCCTCCAAAATTATGTTGAGGAAGAATAAGATGTATCATACAAACTGTGATACAAATTTTGGATGAAAAATTTAGGTTACTAAACAGTATGTACAAATTATTCCATTATTTATATATACATATATACACATATCTTGCTATTTTGTATATCAAAAGATACACAACATTATACTATGTTGGTTAACTCTGGGGATCTGATTACAGGTTGTTTTTATTTCCTTCCTTGAGATTTTTTCTGTAATATCTGAATTTTATTCCTTTCTTTCCAAATTTGGAGAAAAAATTAAGGTTTCTGAAAATTTAAAAAGTAGATAATATATCAAGTTTGGATTGCAAACCAGAGCTTTCAGCAGAACATAGTTGAGTCTTTGCCATAGACACCGACTCATTTCCTTCCTTTCTGTGGCATTCATACCACTATCGTGCTTTTTTCCCCAAATGAGATGACAAAATGGAAAGACCATCTCCACACCAAGCATGGAGCCGTAGGAAAGTGGAATGTCAGTCAGGGCAACTGCAGATCAGGAAATCGTGTCACAGAAAACAGGACCTGTGTAAGATTCTAAGTTTATGCCATTTGCTGATCAGTTACCATATTTCAAAAATTATACACACTGTAATCCCCCTCTCTGGTCTGCAGGCCCTTTGAAGGGGAAGGCATTTTTAGCAAATATCGTTTAAATGGAGAAAGGAGGCAGATCAATGTACTCCAAACTACTTTAGATTGGATCTTAGTCAGAATGTCTCCCCAGAGCAGAAGCTCTTCTCCAGAAGTACCTTTCCTGTTGGATTCAGGTTCAGGGTTGGAACCCACAGACCCAGAGTGATAGGCTGTCAGCAAAGACAAGCACATCCTTAGCATCCAGCAATGCTCACTTTGTCCTTGTCTCCTTCATCTTCCTTCAAACTTCTATTTTTTTCTTAGATTTCTCTGAAACTCTTTTAAAAATTCCTTTTGAAACAAGTGGGTGCCTGACTCATTGTCTGTTTCCTCTGTTTTCCACCCAAGTGGTAAACAATGGGCTCTATTCAAATGTGGACCGTCTGTGAGCTGGGAACCTGCGTGCAGACAAAGCTCCTTGTCCCACGGCAGACTGCCAGACCCATGCTCTCCTCCACTCACCTCCTGGGCTGTTTAATAAAGGCCACTTGGCAAAATGCAACATATTGTCACGGTCCTATGACCTTGTAGTTCTCTGTCTCCTTTCCCTTCAGCTCGAAAGAATATTACTCTAAATTCTGAAGTCAATGCATTTGAGAACAGCCTTTCAAAAGATACTCGTAAGAATAACAGGAGGTAGTTCAGGCCCCAGTCATAAGGACTACCTGGTTTTCTTTATAATAATTGTAATGCCTCTGTCCTAACTCCTCCCAAGTTGTTAATATTTTGTCTGTAGATGGTGGTTGCCAGGAAAGAGAATCTTGCAAAGTCAAGGGCATGACAAAGCTAAGAAATAGAGAAGGCTAGCCCAAGACTTTGGGAAGACAAAGGCAAAGGAACAAAATAGTAGGAATCAGACTATGGAACAAGAAGAACAGGACAAAGTTTCGAGTTCAAAGGGAGCAGATAAGACAAAAATAACTGAACTTAAATGATACAGTAGTCCTCAGGAAAAAAAGAGAGCGAGAGAGAGACGAGACTTGAGAACACATTCCCTTCAAGTGCTTGAGGAAAGCACACTTCCAGTGTGTATAGGAATCACAGGAGGAGATTTTGCATATTGTGTTGAAACTCCCTTCCCAAGAATTTATGTTTCCTGAAGAACACTGCCAGCTTTCCCCCTCCATCTTAAAATGGTAAGAAAGAAAGTTAAAGAGAAGGTAAGGGAAACAAATAAATAATTACAATATTCCAGTTATATTAGATATGTGTGCTTTTTAAAATAACTTCAACAACCATACAAAATTGTGGCTCTTATTACTATTTTTTTACAGATGAGAAAACTGTAGCTTATGGAGTTTAAATAATTTGCTCACAGTCACAGAATTAGGTAGCACTAGAATTTAAAATCAAGTGGTATGACTAAAAAACCATGAGAACATTCATTCCTTCTTTTACAAATCACTCCCTATTGACAATCAAACCCAAGTCCTCTACATTCTCCATGAATATTATTTAAATCTATCCTCTTTATCCAACCCTACTGTCCCTCCCTCATAGCTTAGCAAGTTTTCCCCAAATGCCTCCTCACTGACCTCCCATCTCTGTGTGTCCTCCCTGCCATTCTTTTCCTTTCTTTTTCCTTTTCCTTCCTCTTTCAACATGTATCTCATCAATTCCAACCTGCTTAAAAACCTTCAGTGACTTCCCACTGACTTAAGATTAAGTCACTGCCCTCAAATATGGCACTGCTTACCCATTGGTCCGCATATTATATTCTCTCTCCCTCACTTTCTATGTTCCAACCACATTGGACTTCTTTAATATCCTCAAAACTACAAGTTGTATACCAGGGAAGGGCTTTTACACAGGCTGTTATTCACTGTGGAACACTCCCTCCTCTTTTCTTAGCTCAGCAATTCTCAAACTTTTGGGGCTCAGGGCCCCTTTGTGCTCTGAAATACTATGAAGAACCCCAAAGATCTTTTCATTTTAAAAAGGTAGATTATATCATTATATTATGTTGTAAATTAGAACCAAGAAATGTTTAAATATTTAATTCATTTTAAAACAACACAGTAAACTGATTATACCTTAACATAAATAACATTTTATAAAAACATAGCCACATTTTCCAAAACCAAAAATACTTGAGTGAAACTAGTAGCACTGTTTTGCATTTTTTGCAAATCTTACCAATATCTGGCTTACTAAAGTATAAATGGATTCTCATGTCTGCGTCTGCATTCAATCTGTTGTGATATCATATGTTATGCAGCTTCTGTAAAACTCCACTGTACACTTGTAATGCAGTAACAATGAAAAGGCAAATAACTTCTTAGTATTATAGGGAAACAGTTTTAACTCCTGAACCCCCTAAAAGTGTCTTAGGCAGAGGCCTCCAGGAAATCCAAGGTATACATTAGGAACTCTTAATTATTCTTTATGTCTTGTCTTAAAGTTAAAATTTGCAAGGATGTCTTCCCTGACCTCAAAGAACAGGTCTGAGTCCTCTTGTTATATGTTTCTATATCATCCTTACCTCTCTGTCAAAACACTCACTGTAACTATAATTTAATCAGTAATTTGCACAGGACAGAGACCATGCCAACTTTGTTCATAGTGAGTCTCCAGTGCTCAGCACACAGCAAGGACTCAGAAAATCTTTGTGGAAGGAAGGAAGAGATAGAAGAAAGGGAGAGAGCAAGGAAGTAAGGCCTCAGACTCAATGAGACAGCGCCCTGACAATGGCTCCATTCCTTCAGCAGGATGTACACAGAGATGCAACTTTCTACAGCATCTGCTGCTCTGGGTTCCATTGAAACAGGATGAGAGAAAGTGGCAGGTAATGGACTGAAGTGAGGAGACTGAGGGGAAACTGTAGAGAATAATGGTTAGGAGTACATGTGCTGGGTTCTCTCATTAAGGTGATCATTCAATATTTACTAAGCAGATACAATTTGCCAGGCATTCTTCTGGGCACTTGGGATACATCAGTAAGCAAAACAGAAAAGGTTCTGGCCTCAAGGAGTTTACAGGCAGACCTGAACTCGGCCACAGATCCCTCCACTTGAGTTGGCCTGGATTGTTTGTTTAACCTTCTTGTGCCTTATTTCTCTCATCTGTAAAATGTGAACAAGCCTTGAAAGTCTCCTGGTGAGAACTAAATGAAAGAATATCTTTAATGTACCCAGTAGAGTCAGGCACCTGGTAGGTGCCTAATAAATGGAAATCTTTCTGCTGGCAACTCTTATTCCAAAATTGATTTTTTTCATGTACAGAAACTATTTGATAGATTAGAATCCAGTCACTCACAGGATATGACTTGGGTAGTTGTCAGGGAGGAAGAGTGGTATATTTAGAGTCTTCTCAGGACTCAGGGGGGCGGGCTGCAGTGTCATTTTCCTATAGAGAAGCATCACCACTCGCTTCCTGTCTTCTTCACAAGCCACCTGGTTATTTTTATATTGAACTTTGTGAGGTACTATCATAGTCTTAAGTTATGGGGTATTTCAAAACAGACTTTCCTGAGGACTCTTACAAAAGTAATTATGCCACGAGTGTCAGACCATTTTAAAGAAGATATTCATAGCCAACTGTTTGTAAGGGACCACCTTCTTACACGGGTTTATCATGTATCATAGGGTTGCCGGGGTTTTCCAACTTCACCCTCTGAGTTTCGTTTGGCCTAAAAAAGGGACACTGCCTTTGAAGGAGGATTACCAGGAGAGGGAAAATTTACAAAAAAAGAGTACAGGGCTCTTTGATTTTTCATTTCCCTTTCCCTCTACTCACTCTTTGTGCCTTCTTCAGTTAGTACCACACTAGAGAAGTGTTAGGTAGAGAAAGAGGAAGAAAGAAAAGGAGACAATCTTATCAGTTGATTTTGCTATGTGTTACCAGTCTGGTAAAAACATTTGAAGTTAGAAAGTATTCAAACATGAATAAAGTTTCAGAGTTACTTGTATGGATTTCATTTCCTCAGAATACCCTCATTGTTCCTTCGCAGGAAATATTCATGAGTCAACTATCCAGAATCATAGTTATTATTCAAGCAGTGTGGGTTTAAAAGGAGATCTGATGCCATGGCAAACCTCACTGACTTAGACTGTTCTTCAAGTTAAACAGCAGGATGATGTCTGAAGTGACTGAAACACATATGGCTTCAGTGTGTCGAGAAGACCTGAAAGATCCCACATGGAAGTGAAATTCATTATTGGCAAGCACGGTGACAGGAGACCCCAGAGGGCTGAGCTGCAAAGAATTTGCAGAGCCGTATGGCTAACTCCATGGCCTAGTTTGATCTTGAAGTTATTGTCTTGGATAATCCTCTCAAATCTGTTCCTGCACTTAAGAGTCACTCATCACATGAGGGAGCTCCCTCTCAGGTTCCTTTACGTCGCCCTGTCAGAAATGACTTTCAGGGAACACAGACATCACATCAAATCATCCAACAGATGTCCCTTTCAAATAAGTTGGAGCAGAACCAACTATATGGAGAAGTCATAAACAAGGAAACAGACAACCCAGTGATTTTCAGCGGATTGGCACTGCTCTTATGACAGAAACCTCAAGTTTCTTGGGTGGAAGAACATGAGTTCAACAGAGGGCGTGTGCACTATGCTGGCTGACTCTTGCGCTCCTGAGGCTCATGCTGCTGACAGGGGATAGAGGGGACACTTTTGGAGTCCAAATCCTGCATCATCTCAATGAAGTGCTATTCAACATCATGGCTCTAAGAAGTAACCCATTTTAATAACTGGTATCAGAGGACTTAGGAGAGAGAAAGTCAGTATCCAGACCCATTTCCGTCAGTGACTCTCTGCTTGTATTGGGAGGGTTGGCCAGAATCGTCTGATTCCTGTTTCTGATTTCCTTCCTCACTGGCATCAGAGGATTGCACTACAGGAAGACTAATATCTAACTGAGCTCCAAGTGCTAAATAAGAGCATCTCAGGCTCATTCCAGACCACCAAGAGGTTCGGGGTGACCAAGTCACAGACTATAAATTTGAACATTTGATGATTTTTGCAGGTGACTGGGTGAACAAAGGAAAACCCAAGAGATACATAAAGATGGAAACTAGGATTTCTCATTTGAATTCTTTAACATGCCTCACTCTAATGGTTATAAATATAAAGGAACTGCAGGCTCTTCAAGAGGGTGAAATGAAGTTAATGAGTTTAGGTTTTAGGTTTTTTTTTTTTTTTTAAAGCTACTTTAGAATAGGAAACATGCTTACTCATATTTACAAGGCACTGCAAGGCACCAGCCAAAAAGCCTGAGTTATTGGCAGGATATTTTTGTTGTTGTTGTTTCTATTGTCCACATGGGTAGGCAATTAATACTTTTTAGGAAATTAGCTTGCCAACTCAACACTGCCTACTTTTGAATTTTTATTCTAGCAACAGCCCATAATTTATTGAAAATTCCCTATGTGCCAGACACTACACTAGACATTGGGAGTATGAAAATTAATACGGTAAAGATCCTGGCTTTAAAGAGTCTTTAACATTATTTGAGCAGTTTTATTACAGGTGTATATGTTGGAATTGTCAGAACACTTAGCTCAAAGCAAGGGTTCAAGCATGACTTTGCAGAGTAGATTTTGGCTGAGCTTAAAGGATGTGAGGATAAGCATACACATTTTTAAAATTACCCAGAATGTAGTGCCTACTGAAATGCTTGAGCCTCAGTTGCTTCTAAGAGTCCAGCTTCAGAACTTGCATCTTGCTAGATTGAGCTCATTGCTTAATTTCTAGCCAACACAGCCCATCTCTCTCAGCTGAATACTAAGCTCATCAACTTCTCCTTTGATCTAGGTCTTGAAAAGAATGTTGAACATGACAGGGCTGAAGGCAGAAACCATGGAAACTTCCATCCAGAGTTACAGTCATCTCTTAATAGCTGCCTACTGTTGCAATCAAAATTAACTCACTTCTTGCCCAATTGTGACACTTCGCTCACCTTCTACTCAAGGGAGACTTCAAGAATTGTTGAAGCTGAACTTCTCAGGTTCTTATACTTAGTGACACTGTTCATGCAGTGGCTCAGTATGTCTTGATTTCTTGGAGCCAGCAAAAGTCACAAACTGAACCCTCAAATCGGAATTCATAAGTGACTAACTTGTAGCATAACTTTATTATACTAGGAAAGATGGGGTTAGGGAGAGAAAAAATATCTGTAACATCTTATATGTTCAAATATAAGCACTTTATGTATATTTAGTCATTCGAACTCCAAATACACATTAAGAAGCAGTTATTATTCCACTCTCTAATTCTACAATTTCTACCTTTTTAGATTCCACATGTAAGTGAGATCATATGGTATTTGTCGCTCTGTGCCTGACTTATTTCACTTAGCATAATGTCCTTAGGTTCATCCATGTTTGCAAATGGCAGAATTGCCTGGTTTTTTTTTTTAAGGCTAAATAGTATTCTATTTTGTATATTCAGCACATTTTTTAAAAATCTATTCATCAGCTAATGGACACTTAGGTTGATTCCGTATCTTGGCTCTTGTGAATAATGTGACAATGAACACAGGAGTGCAAACATCCCTTTAAAATACTGATTTAAATTCCTTTAGGTATACACCCAATTGGCTGTGGGAAGTTAGACAGGGAAAGGGTACACACTGGTCTATGGATACAGAGTTTCAGTTAGATAGGAGGAATAATTCTGGTGTTCTATTGCACAGCACAGTGTCTATAGTTAATAGCAATGTATTACATATTTCAAAACAGCTAAAGAGAACTTTAATTGTTCTTACCACAATGAAATAACTGGGTAAATGAATATGCTACTTAGCCTGATTTGCTCATTCCACAATGTATACAAGTATCAAAAAGTCCCACTGTACCCCATAAATATACAACATTATTTGTCAATTACAATAAAACATTTTTTAAAAAAAAAAGTAATCAAAGTCTCCATTTGACTGATAAAACTTAGATTAAATCTGAGCTAGAACTCAGCCAGTATTGCACCAAATGTTCTTTCCATTATGCTCCTCCCTCTTCCTCGCTAAGATTGCGCCCCTTCTCCTCCCTAACTCACCTCAAGCTCCTATCACCCTTCTCTAGTTTTAAACCAAGGAAAAATGATTCAATGAATGATAATACTTGACCAAGAACTTTTATAGAGTTTTGAGTTAAAGAAAATGTGACTTGGGTCAAAGTCACGTTTTAAACTTGTGATTTGTGTTAAAGAAAATGAAACGCCTAAATGACTTTTCTTAAGTAGGCATTCAAAAAAAATTGACTTTTTCATCACTTAATCCTCACATATCTATATGCTATGGACTGAATTGTGCCCCCTAAAACTTTGTATTTGAAGCCCTAACCACTTTTCCACAATGTAACTGTATTTGGAGATAGGACTTTTATTTAGAGATGGAACATTGAACCTAATTAAGGTTAAATGAGGTCACTGTCATTAGGGTAGGACCCTAAGCCAATAGGACCGGTGGGTTTATTAAAGGAAGAGACTGATTCTCTCTCTCTCTCTCTGCCTCTCTGTCTGTCAGGTGAGGACACAGTAAAAGGAAGTAATCTGGGAGCCAGGAAGAGGACCCTCACTAGAATCTGATCATGCTGGAATCCTGAAGTTGGACTTCCAGCCTCCAGAACAGCGAGAAAATAGATTTATGTCATTTAAGCTACTTAGTATTTTGTTAAGGCAATTTAAACAGACTAATACACTATATAGTCTATGGACCCCCTCCAGGAATACCACTCGGACCATTTTACAAGAACAGTATATGAGATTCAAAGGGGTCATTAGGACGTATGATGAGTAAAGTTGGTTATTCCAGGGTTTTACTTACTAAATTCCAGTACATAGTTCGAACCACTGTGGTACACAATACACTTTCCCACAGGAATGCCATAGCCTACTATTCCAACAGGATCAGATAATCTAAAGTGAGCAAATTCGGGGGGTGCAATTGTGCTATGCTGGACAGATGGGCATGACTCTGTGGTTAGGGGGTGGAGTACCATCTGTTGCGGACACACGAGTGCTTCTTGCTGTCCTTGGGGAAAGTCACAGATGTTTTCATAACAGGTGTGTTTGCTTCCCCCATGTAGCTTTCCCAGACACGTCACACACAGCACTTTGGCTGAGTTACCTTTTCTACTCAAGCAAAGTAAGAGAAATGAGACACCTGCCCTGATAATTTAATTTAGAGGGAAAAAAGATGAGACTTGGTTGCTTCTGAGGTGCCTGAATGTACTTTTGGCAGGGAGTGGGGAAATAGAAAAAATACCAAATACTGAAGACAGCATGTTTCTCAAACCGTGAATAATTGCTGAATTCTTTATTTTATTTTTATAAGTTCCAGGGTACACGTGCAGGATGTGCAGGTTTGTTACATGGGTAAGCGTGTGCCACGGTGGTTTGCATCTATCAACCTCTCACCTAAATATTAAGCCCTGCATGCATTAGCTATTTATCCCAATGCTCTCTCTCTTTCACTCCTTTGCGTGTGGTTCTTGAGTAACAGAATCAGGACAGGATAATGTGCACTATGCTTCCTGAACAATCGATTAGTAGGCTGAGGCTTGAAAGGTAAGGCAATATGCTGCCAATGAGCTAATTATTATATTCAATATGTTGAGCTATTAAGCATATAATTATTAAAAATGATTAAACACACAATGAACTCAAATGTAACTACTAAATTCACAATCTTAGATTGTCTTTAACCTACTGCCCCCATGCATTCTACCAAAAATTTTAGTATCTATCTTTTTCATGAATCCGGTGAAAAATACTGACAAAATTTAACTTTAAGGCATACCATTTTTTTCTGGTATATAACTGACCTGTGGTTAATTAGAAAATTTGGGGATGTCTTTCGATTGTCGTGTATAAGAAAATAATCTTCCACAAATCCTGAATTTAAAATGCTCCACATGCCCAGAACTCTTTTCTAGAGAGTAACACAGGATGGTGGAAAGTCATATGTAACTCTAAAGGGAAGCCTCCATGTAATTACCTCTAAATATAAAGTTGCATACAAAGAGAATCAGTCTACCAAGTGTAATTAAAAGTTCAAATTTTAATTATTTTTCACAAGTAAAGACAAACACAGAGATACATACCCTTGCTGCAAAAAAAATTTTAAAAAGGTGTCTTCCAATTATTGCACTGGTATTCTGCCTATGAATTTATCTATTACTCTATCATGTGACCCCAAAATCTCACCTTTCACAGATGTAGCAATTTTTCATTTTTAAAATAATTTTAAAATAATGTTCTAAGATGAGGATTATCTGTGTAACTGTGTAATCATCTATCTAGCTGCCCAGAGAATTTTCTGTTCAACAACATGCACCTCCTTTCTTAAATAAATAGAACTTATTTTAAGATCTCTCCTCTAGATAGAATGAGTTGACTTTCCTCTTTATAAACTTGCTAAAAGTAGCACCCCAGGCACTTGTTACTTAAATGAGATACGTATTTAAGCAAAATGATAAAATATTAAAACTGAAAAACTGTATGTGTCAGTCACACATAAGATCCTGGTGGCAACTCACAGACTACCGGGTCCCCTCACGATCTATGGCTCCTAACCTGGTGGCCCCTACTAGTTTCTGGAAGGTGGAGGGGAGCTCTCCTTAGAGTTCTGGAGAACTTATCACTATCTACACCTACCTTGTTTATTTGTTTGTTCATATGTATATTGCCTACCTCATCCACCACTAGATTGTAAACTTGAAAGTAGGGACATACTGTCTTTTTAGACTTG